GTCAGTACCACCATACTGATACACAAGCTAAACAAACCATCATATACAGTGGCAAAAGGTTGGAGGCCGATACAACTACAATCCATACTGGCAAAAACCCTAGAAAGAGTGGCAGTCATACGGATAGCAAGACTCGAAAACCTGGAAGACAATATGTTCGGAGGGAGAAAGAGATACGGTACGACAGATGCCATACAGGCCCTAAATGACGTAATGGACACAACTGGGAAAGCCGGCAAATGCATCACCACCCTCGATGTCGAGGGGGGATTCGACCACCTACAGATGGGTAAGGTATGCGACAGGCTCGGAAAGCACTCGGGTCACCTGGCACAATGGGTCCGACACTGGGCCACCGACTGGACGACCAGCTACCGGTTCAATGGCAGGACGTCCAGGGGATATGCTACTGACAAGGGCACGCCACAGGGCTCTCCCCTATCACTAATACTTTTCCTCATCAGCATGCTAGAGACAGCAAAAGTACAGGCAACGCCGTCCCAAAAGGCGGAAACCAAGGTTCTGATGTACGTGGATGACATCCTGGTAGCAACAACATACCGGGACGCGAAGGAGGGAAAAAGGATGCACCAGGAGACCATTAGAGGACTTGAGGCAACCGCAGCTGGAGACGGGTACGAGTTCGCACCCAGTAAAGCTGAAACAATATTCGTGCACACACCACCGCAGAGCAAGTTCGAAGTCCGCCTACGGGGCCAAGAGATACCCGCCCAAGGCCACCTGAGATGGCTCGGATACTTCCTACCAGACAAATGGAAATGGGACCACCACGTCAGACACTGGATCAACCAAGCCACCAGCTCTGGACACCGCATAAGGGCAGTAACGTCCAGATACAGCAAAGGGGGACTGAATGCGGGGACGGCACTGCGGCTAATCAAGGGCCTGATAATCCCACAGCTGACATACGAGATAGAGACATGGGGAAACAAAGGCCTGTTAAGAGAAGCGCAGGCGGCCCTCAACAAGATAGTCCGGACCGCCTTCGGGCTGGAAAAGAAAACACCGGTCCTGGCCTTCCTTACTGAACTCGGGATCCCACCACTGGACCTCATGATGCAGTTTAGACAAAACTTGCTGGCACTACGAGCCACCACCAAGGACCGCCACAACACTTGGACAAAGAAGTGAATGACCAGGCACGCGGCAAAGGACATTATCACCACCACCGGCAATTACCAATTAGGCAAAGACGCACTTAAAGACAGGCTGCAACAAGACTGGGCAGAAAGAGTTACCAATGAAGGGACCAGGTACCAAGGAAGGCCCGGTAAATCGCACAAGCACCTACACTCCCTAACCAGGCAAAACTTTAAAGGGCTGCTAGGATTAAGGGCAACGGCGGGTTGGCCATACCAGGAAATAACCGGCGCCAGAAGGCAATGTCCATGCGATCGGGACATAATAACGTTTGACCACCTAGCAAACAGATGCGCGGTGACAACCACCACGACAATCGGGCTCTACGACAACAAAAGGCAAGGAGAACTCCTTCAATGGATGGACAGCTGGCCACAAGAACTTAAGGGAAAGCCAGAAATGGCCGGGAATGAGGACGGCACCCAACATCCAGACGCCGCCCAGGTAATCGGAGCCAACGTTAACCTACCCACAAGCCAACCAACACAGAAACCGGTGAAACCCAGACCACGACAGCCTTGCAAGATATGTGGGGAACTGGTGCTAAGGGACGTGCAGCATGAGTCGGCGCACGCCAGAATACACGACCCGGCGAGCAAGTGCCGATAGGCTTCAATGGCGGGGGACACGGAGGAGGCGCCCAGTGGACCAGGGGAGTAATGCTGGTCAGATTGTTATCTCATAATGTACACGACCATGGGGCACAGGGAGCAGGTGTGGGTTTCTTTTGTTTGCTTGGATTTCCTTTGTTCACGACTACGGGGCACAGGGGGCAGGCGTAGGTTTCTTTTGTTAGTTTGAATTTCTTTTGTTCACGACCATGGGGCCAAGGGGGCAGGAATGGGTTTTCTTTGTTGATGGATTTTATTTTTTGTTTACGACCATGGGGCCGGGGGGCAGGAATGGGTTTCTTTTGTGTTGGACCAAAGCTGTTTGAGGGAAAGGAGAAGGAGGGAGTGGGAGTTTCTTTTGTATGGCCTACAGGGGGGTGTAGCGAAGGATTTCGTTGAGGGGGGTCCAGGGCTGGGGGCAGTATCCCATGCCGTACTCCGATTACTTTAGTTAGTAGGTGAGATAGTGGAAGAATAAAAGGTTTACACACACAAACGCTGATGCACACATAGCCACCCGGATTTGACAAGTTTTTAAGTCAACCGCGCCGAAGCGAAAGGAGAGAAGAGAGTCAAAGGATTACTATAAAATGATTAAAAATTAGTACCGCAACTTAACCTATATATCAACCTCGGTACGGTATCCGAGAACCCCCCACTACGCAATCTACCCCGCAGTCCGCGGCACTCAGGCACAATGCCATGCAAAAACCTAAAATCTTCAAGAGCCCCGTGGGTGGGTGGTGGCCGTGCATTTGCAGTTGCATGATAGCTGTAGTTGCAGACATGGTGCAGGGGCTTATCGGTGGCTCGGGTTCATGAAAATGAGAAGAGAGGGTTGAGGTTGATGGTGGTGGTTGGTGAAGACCATACCCGCTCTTTTTTTCTGCTATGATACGGTATCATAATATTATCATACCTAGATTATACCAGTAGTAATGTGTATCACGGCCGCTCACTCAACTCAACTCCATAATATAGTGGTTGAAGGGGGGAAGTCCTACTTACTCGGGCCCTAACCTCGAGGATAGTGCCTGGTTAGTGAGTGAGTGGGTGAGTTTTTCCTTTACCGAGAAGGCACAGTCCCTTCCGTGCTCTTTGCAAAAAAAAAAAAAAAAAAAAAGACTAAATACGAGTGATATACAATGACCAACCGAGGGGTATCACATACCCTCCCCCCTTCCTCCACCTCCCACAGTACAGTATCATACTTTCTACCCAAGCCCCACCTCCGGAATCGGGAAGCCGGAATGCCGTACCGTACCTGCCTGAACTAGAGACGCGTAATGCGTACTGTTCTGTGCGATATTATGGCGCGAGTACAGTACGAGTACTGTAGGATAGTAAGTGTTGTTTCTTTCTTTTTTGGGGAGTGGGGCGGGACAGGTTTGAAGTTTGTGAGTATTTTGGTGAAGGAGAGGGAAGGGAAGGAAAGAAGGAAGGAGCTGAGGGTTATTGTTGTACGGGGCAATGGTTGGAGTCATTGTGTGTGTATATTGGGGATATAAAGTGCTTTTTCTATGGATCGATGGATAAAGTTAGAGGGGCGAGGCGAGGCGAGGTTGGATGCGGTATCGGTAACTTAAGGCAAAATGACGGGGGCGGTACTGTAATACTGATAAAGTTTCCAGCGCCGCGTCCGCTCTCTACTCGAGTATGGGTGATCGGGGGAGGAGGAGGTTAAACATTTCTGTTTGGCCCATCCATTCGTTCATTCATCAAACAAAAGATCCCAAATGACGTTTCCCTAAACCCTTTTTTTTTTTTACTACCATATCATACGTACCCGAGCACGATACCCAAAACCGCATACCGCCCCATGGCCAGTCAGTCCGCCACGGCAAAGTCTGGCGAAAGAAGGGTGTGAGGGGGGGGGGGCGGTGAGAGAAGGGAACGGGATTATTCGGAGGAGTCGGGGGGATGTTAACCCCATGAAACAGAGGTTTACCGTCCCGGGGGGGCGGGAATTGGGGTCTCATGATTGATAGATGAGGTTTTCTTTTCTTTTCTTTTCTTTTTTTTTTTTGAACCCGCGGCGGTTTTGGGAATTGTATGATAGGTATGATAGACCTTTTTTTTTTCATTTTTTTTTTCATCTTCATTTTCTTTGAATGAATTTTTACAATATTTTCATTAAATTTTTTATTATAATTAATTTTATACATGTGTGTATTTTTTATCTGATCTTCCGTTCATTCATTTGAAGGTATAATACCTGCATTGCATAGATTTATCCTAATACATTTGGACGATGGACAACTCCCCTTCCCTCCCCTCGGCCGGGTCCATCTGATTCCGGTGAGGTCGTGTGGAGAAATAAGGAAAAAAGCCTACGGTCATGGCTATGGTGCAGCAGCAACTCATTGCTGCCTGACATTATTTTCCTCTCTCCTCCCCTCCCTTCCGGTTTCTTTTCTTGGGATGAGCGCGTGGGTGAGAAATGTGAGAGGAGTGAGATTCGAAGGGAGCGAATCAGTGTGTTCTTCCGCTTCCTCTTGCTTCTTAGCGTAGTGCATGGCTTTTTGACTGTGTTTCCTTGTCTCTCTCTCTCTCTCTCTCTCTCTGCCTGTTCAATTGATTGTCGTCGTAATTAATTATTTTTTTCGTGCAACTGCTTTCTCCTCTCCTTCTTTTCTTTGCTCTCTGACTCGGGCTGAGATTTGAGAGGATTGTTGATGTTGTAAAAAATTGGCTTGCGTTTGGAACTCGGGAGATTTTTTTTTATCTCGCTGGACCGTGCTTTCGCTGTAGGAATACCGTAGTCTACTCCTTTCAATTATTTGACGGGTCTTGGTCTACCAGTAAGTAGTCTAAGTAGTCTGGTCTATATAGTAAAAGTGGTTTTCCATTGTGGGAAATCGAATCGGGAAAGAAATTTTTTTTTTTAATTTTATTCCCTTCGTGTGTCTGAAAAGTAGAAAAGAAAAAAAGAAAGAAAAAGGGTTGAAGCTCGAATTTTTTTTTTGCCCTACAATTTTTTCCTACACTATGATACCGATATAATAATATCACACTTGATCATTTTTTTTCCCCTCTATTGGACCCCTTCCCTATATCCCTATAGACTCAACTCATAGCCCCACAACACAAACTATACCTCCCCTCCCCCTCCCAGGTTCCCCCATAACATCCTTCTCACACATTTTTCCCTCCATCACCGTCATCGCTCGTTCCATAACTTGCAAACATCATCCCACTTTATTCTTCTCATCTCTCTTTTCCGTGTCTGGGAACCGGAAAGCATCATACTTCTTCGTATCCATCATCCCACCTCTACCTCTACGGACGACCATTTTGTGTCGTCTGCCAATGATTGGAATAACTCTCTTGAATAATCATGTGCGTTTGTGCCTGTTGTGCCCTTTTTTCCCTTTTACTCTCCCCGAAATTGGGTTTTGTGCCTCTTTTATTCCTTTCCTTCTTTCCCCATCATTCCCGTTCGTATACCAGCATCATGGTATCACCATCACCATACAAAAAAAAAAAAAGAGAGTTTGCAATGACTGACATGACTCAAAAATTTCTAGATACCAGTTCTCTGAATGGTCTTCAAACCATTCACTACCCTCGCTCGTCAGAGCATCTCGAAGCACCTTGTCAACGGCTGCGCCCAGTCCGTTGTTGCTGCAACCCAATCCTCATATGCATCCTCCACCGTCCAGCTCTCCCGTCTAGGGCAGCAGAATGCGCCAGCTCGACTGCACACTGCCTTTGGCGGTGCGAACTCTGGTCGGGCGGCGCCGGGGAAAGATGGACAGGGTAGCGATAGTTTGGGCGCTTACTATGCCGCTCAGTCGCAGGCCGTGGACGAGAAGGAAGAAAAGGAGAATAGGAAATACCTATTCTCGAGAAAGATATTATGGTCCAAGGCACAACATCAACAGCAGCAAAAGGCATTGCTGGAGAATCCACCGTCCTTGGAACTGGGCTCACCGAGATCGCGGTCTTCTTCCATAACACAGGTGGAGGCTCAGTTACCATCAAAGGACATTGTCAAGGGGGAGGAGGAGGAGGCCGTATTTGTCGAGTCTGTCGCTGAAGACTCGGAGATTTTGTCCCCCGAGGAGGTTGCTCCAGTGGAGGATGCCAAGGCCGAGTTTGCACCCTCACCTACTCCGTCCGAGGAGACACTAGTTCCTGCTTCACCAGAGGTATCTGGTGTTACCGCTCAATACAACGATCAGCTACGTGATTTACGAACGGCTGGGAAATATGAAGAAATCTTGGCCCTCTTTGAGCATATGATTCAAGAAGGTGTACAACCTAGTACCACCACCTATAACCACGTTCTCGTTGCCCTCATACAAACCGGAGCCGGCGGCATCCCTCGGGTCCTGAGTGTTTACCAGGACATGCTCAGGAACAAAGTCCTACCTAGCACTGTCACATATTCCATCCTAATCGACTACCTTGCCGCAAGCGGTAAATCCTCGTTGCAGTTTGCTCGGCGAATTGAAGATGACATCCTGAGATTCGGATTTGTCGTCCCATCCCGGAGGCGGGAATTGGATGAGATCCGCTCGCAAAAGTCTTTAGACATGGCTTTGGACATATTTTACGCTAGCACTGAAGTCCGGGTGGAGCGTACCTTTTCTGAACCCGTATATTCCATTCTTATTGAGGCATGTGCTGAGAATGGCCGTGAGGAAGATATGCTCAAGGTCTATACACATATGGAATTGCATGACGTGTTGCCGAGCTTGGACACTACGCTTTCTCTTATAAAGGGATTTGGGAAGGCTGAAAATATTTGCTCTGCTGTCGAGACATACAACAACTACTGTGCTCTGGATACATCAAAAAAGCCGGCAAATGTCGATGAGCGATATCTGGTCTACAAGGCATTGATTCTTGCTTACATGGAGGCTGGTGATCCTGCTGGTGCGCTGTCATTCTTGGAGAAAATTGTCGGTACTAGCAAGGACCCTCATCGCTCTCAATGGTTGGCGGAGGCCATAATCAAAGGTTTCCTGCAGCGGAGTGATTTGGGGTCTGCCAAGGAGTGGATTGCGGGCCGAATGGCCGGGACATCGGAATACATTGGACTGTCAAGGGTTCTTATTGGAGTTGCGGATTTGGGGGATTATGGGCTTGCGGATCGGCTTTATTCGGAATTCATGGATTATGTCCGTCTCCATAGTATTAACCATTCCAGCACCTCAATTGCTCAGATGGCTTTTTTGAATCTCTGCGTAAAGGAGAGGAAGATTGGGCGTGCTAGAGCCGTTTGGAATGATCTTTCCGAGAGAGTTTTGTCTAGTGGACCAGATGTGGAAGCCGCTGTTGTGTACTCCATGATGCTTTTTGAGAATCGACTCACGAACGAGGCCTTGGTGGTGCTAAAACAATTTAGTGAGTTCTTTATGGAGAAGCCTCTTGGTGTTCCACTTGCTTTGAAGGCGGAATATCTACAGGAAGCCTTTGAGAGCTTGATTGACAGGCTTGCCGCAAAGGATCTTCTTACTCACGGGGTCGCACTTGACATTTCTGGTTTTAGCATGCGACATTGTGGGCGTATGGGAGCTCCGGCTTCGAGGATTGTTCTAGGACTCTTTGGGGAACAGCGAATACTCGGATTGACATTGCCGCAGTTGGACCTTCTTCTGCAGATTCAGGCTGGCGTTTTTCAACAACCTGGGGAATTGGTTTCGGGGGATATGGAGAAGTTTGAGCAGATGCTAACTCTCGCATTAAATGCCGGGGTTCCTCTTAGCAAGGCCATGAAGATTTCTGTCGATGGTGTTATTGCAGCCCGTGGCATCGATGAGGGCCTTCTGGCGAAATGGACTGCATTCGTACAGTCTCAAAAGGTTTGGGAGAACATGCCGATGGCGCCGCTGACCGAGGATGTGGTTGCATCACCTACCCTGGTCCCCAGTGAAGGAGAGACTGCTGTTGCTGAGGATAATCATGATCCCTACTGGGCCAAAACCGACGTTAAGGTCTCACAGGCTATTGATAATGCTCTTGAGGGTACGAAGGCCGCTAGGGCTAGGCTCATGGATGCCCGAAGAATGTATCAACAGACTCGTAAGGCGGGCAGATTGGTTAGGATGACGACTCTGGCGAGGATGGTTGGTGCTGCTTCTCGTGCAGGCCAGCCGGAATTCATGGAGGAGATCTACCGGAACGCGAGAATGGACACTCCTCTACTGATGGAATTCCGTTCTGTTAGATACGTTTGGTGTGTTCTCTTGGACGCTATGGTCGCTGGGCAACTCTCCATTGGAAACCGACAAAAAGCCGCCGTGTACCATGAGGAAATGCTAAAGATGAGAGCTTCTCCATCTGCAAATACCTATGGACTCTACATTGTTTCGCTCAAAGGTTCAAACCAAACATACGACGAGGCCTCTGAAGCCCTCAAGATTTTTGAGCGGGCTAAGGCAGAGAACGTGCTTCCCAGCTCCTTCCTGTACAACGCGCTTATCGGTAAACTTGCAAAAGCCCGCCGTGTCGACGACTGCCTCTTCTACTTCGCGGAGATGCGCACTTTGGGCATAAAACCCACTAGTGTAACGTACGGCACTATGATCAATGCCTTGACCCGTGTCGGCGATGAGCACTTCGCAGAAGAACTGTTCCAAGAAATGGAGGCCATGCCGAACTACAAACCCCGTCCGGCACCATACAACTCCCTCATGCAATTCTTCGTCAACACCAAGCGCGATAGGAGTAAAGTCATGAGCTACTTCAACCGTATGACCTCCCTGGGTATCGAAGCTACCTCGCACACATACAAGCTTCTGATTGAAGCCTATGCAACGCTTGATCCACCGGACATGCCCGCGGCAGAAGGCGTACTCGACTTGATCCGCGCGAAGAACCAGCCCGTGGAATCATCTCACCATGCCGCCCTTATCCACGCAAAGGGGTGTGTCCTCCAAGACGTCGAGGCGGCTATCTCGCACTTCAAATCCCTCCTTCACCCAACCACCGCCACGCCCCAACCCCAACTCGACAATACGATCTACCAGGCTCTTTTCGAGTCACTCGTTGCCAACCACCGTGTCCAGGACACCACTCTGTGGCTATCGGACATGGGGCGCCGTGGCGTTCGCATGACACCGTATATCGCCAACACCCTTATCCATGGATGGGCGCTGGAGAAGGACATTGGGAAGGCGGAAGAAGTTTACGAATCCCTTAGTAAGGACGAAAATGCTAGGCTTAAGCGCGAACCGAGCACCTACGAGGCTATGACTAGGGCTTACTTGGCCGTCGAGGATCGTGCTGGCGCGCTCAGGGTGGTGGACGAGATGAGCGAGCGTGGGTATCCGAGTGCTGTCATGGTTAGAGTCGCGGACCTGGTGAGGGGGAGAGGGGAGTAGATTTTCTTTTCTTTTCCCCCTTTACGATGGTTTTCTTGTTCGTTAATATTCCCCCCCCCCTTTTTCTCTCGTTACTTGAGGGACCCCCCCATTGCGATTGATAGAATGGGGGGTCTTGTTCATCTTGGTTTGGTGTTTTCTTTTGCCTTTCTTCTGCTTTACTCATTCTTACAGCGTGGCTTCTCCTACTAGCGCCCATACACGGGGGTCCGTCTGCACTGTTATACCTTTTTCCGCCTGTACGATATCAAAAGCGCCTTTTTGTTTTTCCTTCTCATTTTCGTGTAAATACTACACTACCCTTCATATTTCACCATATTCGGCGGGGCGGGGTAAGGTAGGGTTGGGATCAAATCTGGCTGGGGGGTGGGCGTTTTTTGCTTTTTATTTTATTTTGGTTTTTGTCATTTTTCTACCACCTACCAGCATCATATACACTCCACTCTTCAAAATTATTTTCCCCTTTCAATGCGGTGAGGGGGTTTTAAATTATCTATGTTTTTCACATTGGTTTTTCCTGTTGCATGGACGGGTTGTACAGTACACTTATTCACTGACGGATGGGCACAAAATCTCCCTTGCATGATGGACAGGTACGATAGATGGAGAAGTGTAAATAAGTAGTTCTAGTATGTATATTGAATAAAACCTGCTCCCCCTGATTATGGGTGCTCTCTTTCTTCTTCTTTTGTGATGGTGGTATCATACTTATTGGAGGGGGTGGTTGAGATGGAGAATTAGGGTGAGAGACGCTGGATTTTCCAGGTGTCGGAGTCGATAGAGTCGCGAGTGTAGGCGAAGCGGTCGTGGAGACGGCTGGTACGGCTGTGAGGCAGGGAGTTAGTATATGTCTTTCAGAATGCGGAGGGTGGGTAGTGGATGAACGGATATATCATACCCTTGCTATTCGCACACACATTGTAAACATTAGCAACCGCACTTGGTCCACTGAAGCAAGAAGGGCAAACATACCCAAAACTCCACATAATCTGGCACAATCCTCAACCCTCCCCAAAACGGCGGCACGGGAATCTTCTCCTGATCCTTGAACCTCTCCTCCACCTCTTTAACCCATCTCTCCAACACATCCCTATCCTCAATCCCAACACTCTGCCGACTCGCCCAAGCCCCAACCCTGCTCCCGCGAATCCTCGTGTCAAAGTAGACTTGACTCTCCTCGTCCGTCAGCCTCTCCGTGATCCCCTCGACACGCACCTGCCGCTCCATCTCGCGCCAGTGGAAGGTCAGCGCGGCGCGGGGGTTGCTGGCCACATCCGCCGCCTTTCGGGACGTGTCCCAGTTGGAGTAGATGACGAAGCCGCGGGCATCGAGTTCCTTGAGGTAGACTGTGCGCGCGCTCACGCGGCCCGAGGGTAAGTGCGCGGTAGACAGGGTCGTGGTCTCGGGCTGGTGGATGGCGTGCGATTCGGCTGCCGTGTACCAGGCATGGAATTGGGTTAGCGGGGATGGGGAGAGGTCTATGGAAGTGAGGGCTGAGGTGTTGTATTGGTCGTCTTTGGGGGCGACTGTGGATGGTTAGCCCTCAATAAAGGGGAGAAGAGAGGAGGATGGATTTGGGGTGGGTACAGATGAGCTTTTCTTTAGCGGCTGCTAACATGATTGCTCTGGCGAACTGGTATGGGGATCTTTTTAGCATTAAATTTGTGATCTTTGTTTTAAAAGGGAGAAGTATCATAGGAATGGGTAGTGGTGGGAATATCATACCTGCGGTGACCTCAGGTGGGCTACCGGTACTTTGCACCCTCAGACTTCCGGTAGCTAAGCTGCGTGATATGGAGTGAGGCCTTGCTGAGCTTGAGTGGTGGTGGTGGTGGTGGTGGTGGTGGTGGGGCCGCTCTATTCTGTTCGTATATAGTAGCAGGTTTCGATAGCTACCGGTAGGTTCTTGTGGTGATATTGGAGAGGCCCTCGGTAGGTTCGGTTGATCGGCAGCTGAGGGGATGGTGGGACGAGGAGGGGGTGCCGCCCGATAAGGCTAGATGGGATCTGATACATAATATTATTTGAGCCTACCGGTATGATATCATACCCGTTCGGAGCCTTTTTTCTGATGGGGTTTGTGTCACAGGGGTTAGGGTACGCCACGGTCTGCTACACCACCGGCAATTGTGTGGGGATAGGGGGCTTCACTGTAGGCACCGTGGTCGAGATGTAGAATGTCACCATCGTGCGGTACTGTGCTGTACATATATATATATATATATATATGCATGTCGGTGAATTATGATTCGAATAGTACCGGTATTTTGGGAAGGGACTCTAGTAAAGGGGTGGTTTACAAGTAGACTACAAGAATCTGATGAACCAAATAGCAAATTTATATTATCATACAAGCAATCCGAACGCCATTCAAGACCTCAATGAAATATTGGTATAATATCTATGCTTCCTCCTCATCACGATTTTCCGTTCAATATAGCCTCCACGTCAATCCCACCTCTCATCTCCCTCATTAAGCCAGCTCTTCTTGCCTTCGCCCGGTTATCCATTCTTCTTGCCTCCTTGACTCCAACAACCTTGCTCACCTTCTTCTCCCCCGCTCCTGTCTTGCCCTGCTTCCTCGGCTTGACGCCAACACCCAGATTGTCGTGCTTTGGAACCGGTTTGATGGGATACCTCATCCCCTGGCCTTCCCTTCCTAACCCCTTTCGTTCATCCGGGTCCCACCCAGAATCCATCAAGACCTTTAGTCCTAGCGATGACCTGTCGTAATGATGTGGAGGATGAGAATGCGGAAGAGCATATTGGTGAGCTGTAGACTTTTCGTGGGTGTGTTCGTCCGTGATTGGTAGAGAGCAGATCTCGCAGATGGGTAGGTCTTTGGAAGAATTCGACGGCTCGGGATCTGACGATGTAGATGGCGTTTTTGAGCCCAAGCCTACTAGTGAAAGGTAGAGCGATGAAGCTTCACTCCCGCTTAGCTTCGACGATTTTGAGTGGGCAGTTTCGACGTCGGGTGAGTCACAGGCTGGAACAAAAGCTACTCGTTTCCGACGGATTCCAGAACCATAGGGAGCTTGAGTTCGCCAGTCGGGGACCTCCTCCTCCTCTCCTCCTCCTTCGTAATCGCCTTGGCCCATGGATGGTATTATGAAAGGGTGTGCGAGAGGAGGTTTAAGGACGATCGGTGGAGGAGATCCGGGGTGTGGCACTGAATGCTACTTGAGGGCCAAGCTTTCTTTTGAGCCTCAGCTACTCCTAGACGTGACTTTCGCTTGATCTTTGTCACCTCCGGGAGGCACGAGATGTAAGCGTGCCGAACTTGGGACTCACACCTAAGACTATAGAAAACCGCACAGTATGATACCAGTAGATATTTATATTGCTCCTTGACGAGGAAGCTGCTTTTTCTCCTGCGGTGGATGTTCGGGTGGAAGGTGGCTTCTCAAAGCTAAGAGCTTGAACAGCCCTCAATAACCTTATTCTTGTTTTCCCCTCGTAAGCAACGCCTAGATAGCAACCTTAACTCACGATACGGTACCTTACGATACTGCACCAAAAAAAACGGGAACCCGCCGATACAGGGCTACCCAGGACCAGCCATGGCTGTCACGACAGGAAGTTCACCAGCGTTCAGTAATCCCGGTTCGTCGACAAACTCCCCGAGCACCCCGGCTCAGTTGGACACGGATGACAGCTTGTCCCCGCCCTCACTGGCCGGGGAGTCGTGCGGGATGTCTTCGTGCGGCTCAGATATGGGCGAGGAAGCGTGCAAGGGGATGAACTGCGAAATTCCTGTTCTGAGAAGATCGGAACCGAGTATAATCAGCGTGAAGGTATTCCCGAAGGACGAGATTGCCAGTGCTACCACCCAGCCAGCAGTTACGACTACCCCCGCCCCTGCAACTGCGGATGAGGCGCCGGCCACACCTTCTCACCCGCCCTCTTTGTCTTTCCGTTTGGAGGCTCCAGAGCCCACATATCCACAGTTGTTGAATAATCCTCCTGCGAGCCCAATCACCAACCAACCACATCGCATATCGGATGACAAGGACGAGGAGTCGTCTGTGCCGAAATCGTTCGATCGCTCGGATTTCAAACACTGCCATAGAGACCACAAGGAGTTCCTGCACGATGACAAGAGGGACTTCGAGGGCGTGAGGCGGATGCACAAGTTTACCCTCTATGAGACCGCTACTCGGTTCTACATTGTTGGATCGGACCTTTTGGATTCCAGATTTCGGATCTTAAAGATTGACAGGACGGCTGAGATTGGGGATTTGAGTATCACGGAAGATGAGGTTGTATACACCCGAGAGGAGACGGCGAGGTTATTGGCGACCATTGAAGATGGAAATATTTCTACTGGGGGGTTGAAACAGAAGTGTCCGTTTTGGGGATTACTGGGGTTCATCAGGTTTACTGGGGCGTATTACATGCTTCTTATTACAAAAAGGAGTATTGTTGCTATGGTCGGAGGGCACTACGTGTACCAGGTTCAGTGATGCTTCTCAAGTTGTTTGTCCAATTTGAACTATTACTTACCGATTTTAAAGATCGATAACACCGAGCTGGTACCATTAACAGCCGGGACAGCACCGAAGAAACCAGAGAGAAACTCGGAGGAGGCACGCTTCGTTAGTATTCTTAGGAATTTGGATCTCACGAGATCATTCTATTTCAGTTATTCCTACGATATCACTCGGACACTCCAGCATAATATTATTCGTCAACGGGAGGCTTTGGGCAAAGGACTCGCAAACCCGAATAATCACGATTACAATGACATGTTCGCTTGGAACCATTACTTGCTGGAGCCGGCTAAATCGCATATGAGGAATGCGTATGACTGGTGCATGCCAATTGTTCATGGCTATGTCGATCAAGCTGGTAAGGGTAATCTGGGCCGATACAAGGAAACAGGGCTAATTTGAGAAATAGCTATTTCCGTCTACGGGAGAGTGATCTACATCACTGTTATTGCTCGGCGCTCTCGTTACTTTGCAGGTGCAAGGTTTCTGAAGCGTGGTGCCAATGATCTGGTATACCACTTTACGGAACAAGCACTAACTTACTATTCTCTAACTTTTTACTCCAGGGATACGTTGCAAATGATGTCGAAACAGAGCAGATTGTTTCCGAAATGCTCACTACCTCGTTCCATGCGCCTATGAAGAATCTTTACTCCAACCCGAACTATACATCCTACGTACAACACCGCGGTAGTATTCCGCTTTTCTGGACGCAGAAGAGTGATGCAGCCACTCCCAAGCCACCTGTTGAAAGTTTGCGCCCTTGCTACGTTTTTTTTTTTTTTTTTTTAATTTTATTTATTTATGCGGAATTGGAGCTAATGATGTGACTATAGTGAATCTTGTGGACCCGTTCTTCAGTGCTGCCGCGTTGCACTTTGATGATTTATTCCAGAGATACGGCGCACCTGTGATTGTTCTAAACCTCGTCAAGGTTTGGTTACCGACCTTCTCTAGTACAATGCGATTGCTAATGGGTTATTAGTCTCGAGAACGAACGCCGAGGGAGTCATTATTGCTAAAGGAGTTTACTCAAGCCATCAACTATCTGAACCAGTTCCTTCCAACTGAAAAGAGTATCCGATATATAGCTTGGGATATGTCTCGTGCGTCGAAGAGGTGAGTTGCCCAGAAACAAACGTCTAAGCCATTTTTAATCATGATGTGCAGTCGAGATCAAGACGTGATAGAGACTCTTGAGACAATCGCCGAGAACGTATTGAATACAACAGGATTCTTCCACAATGGGCTCAAACCGGGAAACGAGAGTGAAGGCGGCTACTCACTACAGAACGGTGTCTGTAGAACAAACTGCATCGACTGTCTCGATCGAACGAATGCTGCGCAATTCGTTATTGGAAAAAGAGCATTGGGACATCAACTACACGCATTGGGAGTTATCTCAGGCACAAGCATCGATTACGATACCGACGCTGTGAACTTGTTCACGCACATGTACCACGACCACGGGGACACAATTGCCGTTCAGTACGCTGGTAGTCATCTAGTAAATACCATGGAGACGTATCGGAAGATTAATCAGTGGACGAGCCACTCGAGGGATATGTTGGAGAGCTTCAAGAGATATTACAACAATTCATTTTTGGGTATTCTTTAATCAACGGTATTCACACTTTCTAGCTAGACTAGCGCTGACTAGAGCTGCTACAGATGGGCAACGGCAGGAGGCGTACAATTTGTTCTTGGGGAATTACATATTTGCTCAAGGGCAGCCTATGCTTTGGGATCTATCTACAGATTACTACCTTCACCACGCAGACCCAAGGCTTGGCAGGAGGCGTCGCAGGTAAGCCGATTAGTCTTCTGATATGCTGGTCTGCTTGTACCTGATGCATTTCCATGGCAGCTACGTAAAATGGTGGACTCCTAAGAACCTTGTGAAGCGATCGATGCCGGAGATTCCACCGCTTTCAGGTGAGCTTACAGCAAGGCCTTATAGCCACTTTGACGATTACTGGTTGGAATACTATCGCCCAAAGGCTCTATCCTCATTCCTCAAAGTCTTCACCTATAATCTTAATTCGACCCTAAGATACATACCAGTCAAGTACTTCTTCAGTTTCGCAATTGTTCCTATTCGGGTGCCTGCTAACTGCCTTCTAGGATGACACAAACTGGCCGATACGACCTAAGCCCATTTACCGTTAGATCAAATCACGTCGATCATCATCACCACCACCACGACGCCGAGAACGCGGAGGAAAAGGCCAAGGCCGAACGGGACTCAGAAACTGCTGAAGGCCGCCTCAAAAAGATCACAGCCCTCCACGGCTGGCTCCCACCACAAAACGGCATCGCCCCCCCGCCGCCACCCCCACCGCCCCTCCGGAAGTCATCCAGCATCTCAGTTCACCACCAGCTCGAACTAACCCGTGGCCTCAGTAGCTCGACAAAACAGCATTTCTCACTCGGAAAGGATGTAATGCAAATCGAACGTCGCGACATGAATCAGGCAATAGAACGAAGCCTCAATCCAGTCCTCGGTGAGGAGGAGGCGGAAGAGTACAAGAGGTACATGTCTCACCCGCTAAACCTCCCCCTCGTTGTTACCTTGGAGCCCCCAGAGGATGTCGACCCGGACTCTGTTTATTTCGACTACGTGAATAATACCTCGCCCGAGGCCGCGGCCGGGATGACGGCAAAGGCGGAGGATGTGGCGCTGTATGGTGAATTTGTCGAGGTCCCGGAGAATCCCCTCAGCGTTGACGAGACGGACCGGGAGAAGAAGAGGTATATCGCCTATCAGAGGTGGATCACCACCGGGAATTTTAAGCACTTGAGGAGTGTGGGGAATATTAGAGCTTGATAACGTGGATAAGGATGGGGCCTGAAGTTGTTTTGTGGCTGGTGGTATGGTAGGGTTGCTTGTGAGGGGGAAAAGAGGGGAGGGGGTTGTGAGATGTGGACATACGATCCCCTCTTCTTGCACCTCCATTCCCCCGCTTGTGGGCGTTTTTTTTTTGCGGCTTTTGCGATACCATTGGTGAAGCTATGATAGCAAGCTTAGCTTAGCTTAGGTTTTATATGTAATGTGTACCCTATTGACTAGCCTTTATTGATGATAATTTGTGGAGGGGGCTCTTTGGCCGGGTCGAGGCTATTCAAGGAATATTCGTTCCTACCGGGTCAACTGTTGTTGTTGTTGTTCTTAGTACGATATTAGAAGGACAAAAAGGCGATACAAATGCTGATGATGTAGACCTAGTCAGCAGTTCAAGGAGGGGCAATTTAAGTTTCAAACAAGGGGGGTAATAATTGGGTACCCTACTATACTTAAGTATAATACCGGTATAATACTATTATATTTGAGCCACTACTGTACTCGAGTATTGTACCCAATCAGTAGACTAGCATTCAGGCTTCTATCATACTGATACGCCAGTCATATATCCCGTCTAAGACAATATTCGTACTCCTGCCCGGGGAACTGTCGAACGAGTCAATAATTAATTTCGTTTAATTGACCAGATCTAAATCAAGATGAGCCTTTCTAGTAAGATCGGAAAGAATGAGATTTCTATATTCCAGTTCCCTGGGGCAGTTGAAGGTGCAAAGCGCGGTTTTGGTTTAATTCAAGCTTTTTTTTGGGGGGGGGGGGGTGTACGCTCCGGGGTTTGCTGATGGAAAGGTGTAGTATGGGTTCATGGGGAACTTTGGAGATGTGTATTGCTTGAGGGGGGTGACAATTCTGATGGGTGTCACAGTAAGTTTGAGAATATCAGTATAAGGGAGCGCTGTTGGCTCATCTTACGAGTTCCATTGATCGATATCTTCGTTGGGTTTCATGGTATGATACTTTGAATTTGCCTACAGCATCATATAAAACAGCCCCATTTCCATGCCGAAATGCACCGCATAAGTACCCTTAAAGGAAACACGACTTTAATCCGGCGACCTGAGTGAACACCGCTGGGTTAATAGTTGGCAAGAGTAAATTTTGACTAAGGTAACTACGGTAGATTTACCCACTCGGCCCACTGGAATATATGAAAATTCAACTTCGATGTACCTATCATCCTCGACTATCTTAAGTGAGCTGAACGAAAATTTATATATGGAAATTTAGAGAGCTTGGTCATCTCTCGTTTCCTACTGTGTCCTTTTCGTTGTTATCGTATGCTGGTATTTCTTACCGAACTGTGCTCGAGTAGACTACTGTACTATGATATGTTGTTGGTTGTGTAGACCTTCTCTTAGGAACATTGCACTGTGCCACACTTGGTAAAAATCCTGAGCGTCACTAAGTTATGCCCTACTCGGGTGCTTTGCTTGGATTGAATGCGGTTCGACCGCAAGTTGATTTAGACTAGCAAAACTAACCTGGGTTGATGTCTGCACAGTACCATTGGGGGTCAGCATGGGGTGTTGGAGTAATACAATAGGCCGCTAACTCTACGCCTGGGATACCAGCATTCTACAAGTCAGTTTTTTTTTTTTTTTTTTTTTAAAAAAAAACAATCAAAATTCCAGACGGAGCATCTAATCACTGTAGATAGAGTGATCACATGTATTGCCCTCGTCTATCCAGCCTTTTCTTCTAAGATCTTCGTTGCTGAAGCCTACCCTTACTAAAGTTTGGAAAAATTATGATGTGCTGATGAGAACTGCGATGGGACAATAAGTTAAACCGCAAAGAACTCCGGATGAGGGAATCTATCGGCCAGGACCCTGACCCGTTCTCGTATAATATGGATGGGTAAAGTGCCATATGGCAAGGCAATATTATCATGGAGACTGCACCGGCATTTAGCGAAAATGCGGGGTGAGCATGGGGCATTGGGCGGCCATCACGATACATTCTCGGGGAGGTGAGAGGGGGGGGGGGGTAATCTTTAGAAGTTGAAGGTTTCTTCTCTACGCCTTGGCTGTATTCAGTAGGGGTTAGTTGGTACCAGCACAGCACGAGAACTCGTATTACCTGTTATCATAGCAGATGGCTTTTTCAGCCCAGTAAAGTTACACGAGTAAGGGAGCTGCCAACTAACCCGCACTCCACCAAGGCAGGGGACAGTGGTTTGTCTCACTTGTTCCTCTTGTGTCCATATTCCCTCCTTTTTTTTGCCTTTATTTCCTATTTTATTCCATTTTATCTCCTTCACTAGCGCTCGAGCTTAAGCTTAAGTCCTGCGCTGTCCTCCCGTAACTTATCCCCTTTCTGTATGGTTCAAAGAGCTCATCAACGCGCCCCTCGCGTCAAGCTTGCTCCCCCTCCCATCCCCGACCACCATACCGGTAATCCCACCACTACTGCAACATCTGCTGGCAATCCCGCTCCAACAGAAAATAATAGCTCCAGCGAAGCTCAACCACTCTGCGCGAGCCGAACTGGGTCGATTACCCGAT